GTGCACCACTGAAGATTCTCTCCTGTATTACTATTGGAGATGGTACAATAAAGTTGAAAACCCCACTAAAAGTACAAGTTAAAAACCTGTGGTTGTCTACATAAACACCTAAACTTATCTGATCATGTCTGATTGGATTATGTTTTTCTACTTTAATAAAAAATGTTGGACTGTTTTTGCTTATTGTTTCAAACAAATAAAATTCATGTTTACGGTATTTAAAATATAATTAAATAGTTAGAATGAAGTCTTGATTGAAGAAACCTCAAAATTAACAATTATTTTCTGGATAATGAACAGTGAATATTTCAATCTCTGAACTGAATCCATTTGCAATTGAAGGGAGTTTTTTGTTATCAAAATATGGTTTATATTCAGTATTCTTGAGGTAAACCTATCAAATTGCCTGATCTCCTTTTATATATTATCAAAGGGACGTGCTTGGGTAGAAACCCCACAGTAGGTGGGAGGGTCCCATTTTTTTGTGCACGACCCCCCCTGTTTGTGGGGTTTTTGTCAGGGGGGCGGTCAGCCCCCTTTTTCCCAAGCATTTCTCATTATAAAAAGTTATGTGATATGTTACTGAAATTGAGATGCAATAATGTTGTGAAGAATGGACCGCCCCCCTGTTTCCCAAGCATTTCCCATTATAAAAAGTTATGTGATATGTTACTGAAATTAAGATGTAATAATGTCGTGAAAAATGGTCAAAAAGTTGTAGAGTCAATTATCTGTCAAAGTTATATCAACCCTACTAATAGAACAAAGTGTCAAGCTTATGTGATTGGATTCACGGATAAGGAGCAATTCATGTTTAAGTAGGGAGTCCAAGCTGGCATTAAGGCACATCTCACTGGCTTTATTTTTATTTATTTTGTTGCTCTAAATGCTTTTTAGTTATGGTCATATAGTAGGTTCTGTTTGATCTTTTAACTAGGATTTCAATTGTTAGTTCTTTGATGGAATAGAAATTGAGGACTCTGGATGTCCGACAATGCAGGAGTGCTATCGATTGCAAACTTTGAAAAAAGGAAAAGGTCAAATTTGGTGCTTTTTATTTTTAAGGGGTAGAATTTTGGTGTCACGTCAACTAATATTATGGAACGATGTAGAGAATATTAGATATAAAATAATATATTATTGGGATGGTTATCAATTCAAAATTTCAAAGTTTACAAAACAAGGTTCGACCCAATTAGTATCTAGAGAGGGGTGACAATATATAATATGAGAAATTAAAAATTAATTAATAATAACTTGCAATAGTCATAAATCATTAAGGTCTAGATAACTTAAAATAAATTTACACCCTAGCAATCAATCAAGCATAAATATAAAAGCTGAAAAGTAAATACCACCAGGGGGGCGCGGGGGACACTTTGGACACACGTGCCAATTATTAATCCAATTGAAAATATTGAATTTATCGAATTAATCTAGACAAATCTAAATTTTAGTATACCTTAACCCCCAACCTGTAATCACTAAAGAAATCGTCAATTACGTGCTCAAACACCGTTTTAGAAACTTTGGACTTCTTTTCCGCTCGTGAATCACAAAGAATGAACTCATTCTTCACTAACCAAAATTCTAGTCACCTCTCAAAATATTCAGAGCTATAAAGGTTATTTGATAGATCACTAAAACAAAATGGCCTTTTGCAACACATAAAAGGCAACATTTGTTATTTGAGTATTGCTAAATGAATCTATAGCAACATTCTAATAAGTGAATGTTGCCATTGATAAAAATAATTGAGATTTGACAGCATTTTTTTAAATGTATGTTGCTAATGTCACCTTTTTACAATGTTGCCAAAAGAAAAACCTTTCACTACATTTGGTAAGCGTTATTAATATGAAATAGACTAGCTTTTTGTTACGTTTATTAACCGTTGTTTATATTGTTCAATAGACTAATTTTTTGCAACACTTATTAAATGTTGTTAATCTGATTATATAGTTTTTAGGCCCAAACCACAATTCACGTGCTCTAACCCAATTCATTGTGGCCCATTAGAATAGTTTATCCAATCCACAATCCCTACAAAGCTTTCGCATCTCACAATCTCGACAGGTGATTAACACAGAAGTTGTGTCTCCTCAAGCTATAGAGGGAAAATATTTTCACGAGGTAAGAACTATAGAGCATATGAAATTTTGATGTAGAAAATTTAGTGAAGGGATTTAAAAAGGTAAACAAATAGGAGCTGGATCGGGTGACCAAAAAAAAATACCAAATGCTTTTTGGATTACATCAATGGGTAGGGATTCTTAGTTTCATCTTGATAGTTGCATTTAGCTCCCAAGTGACATCTGTTGATGTATCTTCATTTTGTGATTAGTCAATCTATCTTTACTAGCACCACAATTCACCATGAGTCCTATTTAAAAATGAAGTAGATGATAAAAGAACATCATAATCGAATCAAGGCACCAAAATATTATGCAAGAACTCAACGAGTCACATTAACTCAGCAAAATTCAAGAGTGGGTCAAGAAATCGGTAAGAATTGGAGTGGGTTAACTCACCAGTAACTAAGAACAAGTTAAAGAAATCATCACAACTCAGCAGTGAATTACCAAGTATTGCCAGAAACCAGTGTGAAAAGCACAAATTCCACTAGATCAAAATCGAGTTATAAGTTTTTTAGGAAAGAATATAAAAAAACCTCAAAACTTCCCAGAAACATTGAAGATCTTTACAAATCTAACCCATAAATACAAAGGTTTGAAAGAGATTTAACCACAAGTTGAATCGAAGGTAGATCAAATTAATTGTTTTCACAAAAAAATCTAGATTGAACGATTTTTCAAAAAATAATCACTTTCAAAAAGCTAGGGTTTCATTAAAAACAAGCAGGACCTCGCTTTAATAATGCTGTGGTTCTGATACCACTTGTTGGTTCCCAAATCATTTATTTAACAAAATCATTTATTTAACAAAGTAATCTCAGAAAGTAAAATTAAAGAATGCTAAAAATCGTACATCGAGGAATTTTCACCCACTAATGGGTCTAGATGTTCAACGCTCTAAATTTAACTCAGACGCTGAGTATCTATGTAGTAGATATTACCCCGAATCACTAAAATCAAGCCAATATCAGTTTGTACAAATATATGATTTCTTCAAGTTTTCTCTCTCGTCCCACATAGAATGTTTATCATAGTAAACCACTCTCCAATCTCACAAATATATGCTCAGTACATCAAGAAATTTACTCAAGATTGAAGAGAATGAAAAATAGATCTGAGAGAAAACAAAAAGAGATTATCTGGTCCACAAAACAATAGACCCAACGCCCATAAACCACGACGTGTATGGTCATATTGCACCAAACCAGAAGCCAAAAACTGCATTTCATCAAACAGGCTTCCACAAGAGTTGGTCAAATCCGATCAAAAGTCAAGAATTTAGTGAGCCATTAGCATTTCAAAAAACCACTCATTCAAATGAGTTAACAAATAAATTCAATTATTTTTTCACTTATTTTCATATATTTATAAATTAAATTGTTTCTAAATTCTTCCATAACGGAGGTTAAATGTAATCACGAGATTTGTAATTGCCTAATGGTATTTTTTTTCGATTATTCACTATATTTTCAAAGTTTTGTTTTGTTATTATAGCAATTACGTTAAGCTCCTGTTTGATTTTTATCTTTTAAAATCAATTTTCTTCAAAATTATTTTGAACAACACATTCTCCGAATGAAATAATTTGCACAAGAGCCTATAATTTTTCTTCACTTTTTAACTACACATTTTTTGAAATATAATTTTTTCACTAAATCGATTATCAAAGAATCAAAATCAAACTAGGGCTTAACGTCGTTCCCCTTCCGTTAATTTTAATCGTTTAAAAAATTGATATTTCCGCCTAATTTTATATTATAATTGTTATTTTTCACATTAGAAGGGGATAGAATTCATTGGAGGAAATATTGCTAAAAATACAGTAACTATTTAGAAAAAATTAAAGTCCGATAACTATTACAAAAGAAGGTTGAAATTTAATAGACCAATGAGATTTTTAATCCCTTCTAAGTTGCTTGAGTTTTTTTTTTTTTTTTAATCCAAAATTTTAAAAAATTCTAGATAATATTTTTAAAACTCAAAAAAGGGTTTTCTACTTTCTCTTAGTTTTTTTAGTAAAATGCTGGAAACTTTGTATTTCTATATTGGAACGTTTCGGTTAGGAGTCGCACATAGTTGTGAACTATTTAGTGAAGTTCAACAAGAATTTAAGTAGGCTTTGACTAAAATTAACGGAATTGTAATCTTTAACCATCAAGTCATAAAAAACTATCAAATAATTGAGTCCGAATTAGAGTTAAATATCATTTTTAAAAGTTAATATTGTATTTATTTATACAAATTATAATTCTTTATCACTTAAATAAAAAAGGTAAAATAATTCAATTCTTTATTCTTTTAATTGTTTACATTTGTATTTCCTCAACTAATTCCTGGTGCGTTTTGGATTGAATCTATACTTCATTGATCTTTTAAAGAAAAATTCAAATTAAAGACAAATTCATTGGTTGTCTATCAACATATTCCATTAAAGATAAAAAATGTAATGCAATCAAAATACTAGCAGCACTGTTAATAGAGTCGAATACATCGACTAGATTTTATATAATAACGAACTTAAAGTGCATACAACATTGGCTAACAGCCTTATTGAGTCAAGTCGAGTTCAATCGACTGACAACACTAGAATATACACAAACCATTAGCTGGCAAACTTCACTCAGCCGCATCAAGGGTTAGCTTTTCCTCCGATGCCAAAGAAATAAACTTAAGCACAACCTTGACTGTATTTTGAACAATTAGTGGAGAGATGGTAGATTCGTCAACAAAAGAAGTGCCACCAGGTATATTGGAAATTGCCCTAATTGCTATAAAAGGCGTCCTTTGTTGGTGACATACAAGGGCTACTGCAACACTTTCCATGTCGATTGGAGTTGCCTCGAACTTAGAATTCAAGAATTCTCGATAGGCAGCATTGTCTACAAACACATTAACATTCACGCCTCTTCGCACTCTAACTACCTTAGTTAGAGTGCAAAGAGGCGTGAATGTTAATGTGTTTGGTTCCAAATAAACACACAATAGAATTGCACCTTTCGAGGACAATATCCTGTACAGACAAGGAATTAAAAACTAAATTAAAGTAAACAAAATGTTTCGATCTTCTGGGCTAAGCATATTCATGGTTAGTGTGTAAGTTCTTTAAGATTAAGACAAGATAGTAGAAAATTAATCTCAAGATTCTTTGCAAGTGAAAAGTAGCGTTCCGCAATAGGAACCCAAAAGGCATGCTGTCTAATCTCAGATTTTCCATCAGCGTGAAATATCTCTTCCGGTTGATACCACACTCTGTTGAGAAGGTTGTCTGAAGAATTCACACTTACTTCGCCAACTTCATAATCGGCGAACCTAAGATAACCGTATTTTCTTGTGTAGTCTCCATCGGATTCAAATGCAAGTTCATCATCACGTCCATCTCCAAACCTCTGATCATAAAAATGTGCAAAGTCATTAAAGCTTTTTTTGACAGTTTTCATGACGCTTAAATCAATGGGTTTTACACGTTACTGAATGATAAGGTTCACGTAATGAGATAACTGTTAGAAAATATGCTTATTTTAAGCAAATGAAGAAGATTATTGTTGATTGAGCAAATACATAATTATGGTTACCTGCCAATTCCAGAGGCCAGTATGAGCCCAATAGTTTGGGATTGTAACATCTCCTATTTGACTTTCATGATTTGCACTTCCCGCTAATCCAAAGTGAAGTACTCCTTGGATCCTGAACATACTTAGCAGCAGCTGTGTTGCTACTCCTGAATTAAGCTGTAAAATAATAATTTAAATTAATTATGTTGTTACCTATAAAAACCTAAAGGAATAAGTAAATCATTGTACTTTCATTACCATGCTGACTCCGGACATGACAACGACAACTTTTCGATTTTCCAGCGTTCCAATTCGAAACCTTCTTCCTGTTTACATGCCGAAATGAAGAAAATAAAAATAAGAGTTTGAAATATTGTAACTGGAGATTATGCTGTTTTCTTGTTATCTCCTTGAAAACATTTTTTAAGCAGATTGACAACAAAAACAACAACAATAATAGGTCACATATTTTGAGTTGTATTGACATTAAATTAAAGTGTACCACAGTTATTTCATTGACAATAAGTGAGAGTACAGTTACTATTAATGGAATTTACAATTTTATTTTTTTTAAAAATACGTAAGAATTAGATGTTGAAAATAAATATAATATGTCATGTTAAGTTCGATCTTCCCCTTCCTCTTTTAACATGTCCAGTTTAAATCACTACATTATTATAAACAAAAATCTCTTTAGGTAGACGCAAAACATATGCCAACCACTGAAATGTTGTTAAAAAAGCGTAGACTGAGAGAGTAATAGACAATATCTAAACAACTTTGTGCTGAAATATTAGACAAAAGTAATGAGTAATAGACAAGATTATAACTTCTTCTTTTTTTTAATAGCGTTTGATACCGAATAATTCATCTTCCACATAATAAGAGTAAGCAATAAATTAAATTTGAAGTAAATTATTGTCTAACCTGCATGATCCAAGTGGGGAATCGTGTCATGAGGAAGAAAATTTGAAGACTGGAGAAGAGGGTTCATCTCAAAACTGTTGGGCACTACAATACCCAAGTAAGGACCGTCTTTGTTTATTTTAGAGATCTTTTCCTGCAAATCATTAGGAATTGCTCCATCTGCTACATTTGTGATACTCATAATCATCATCATAGCCCATCCCAACGACAGAATTCTCACAACTATAGACATCTTTTCTTCTTCAAACTCAAGCTACTGAAACTTCTCAAGAAATGTAGAATATATAGAATGCGTGAATACATGCACGTGCTTTAAATGGTTTCAGATGATAAGAATTGTATGGCTGATATTTAGGCCCCGTTTGTTTCCCAATAATGTAAAAATGAGAATGAAAAATATAGCTGTTACGGGCTCCACACAAGAGATAGAAATTCAAATATGGTGGCTTGATGTGATGGATAACAGTCATATTTTTCATTTTGATGACCAAATAATGGGAAAACAAACAGGGGCTTAAAGTTGAAAATAGTACATTGTTCCTGCATGTACGATTCTATACAATTTGAGTTTAGTAATCAATTTACAAAACATTTATAACAATCATGCTATATGTACCATGTTTGTTGACAATGTTGGTTGACAACATTCTACTTGATATCATCATATTCAACCATGTTTGTACTCTCAACGTTATTCGTTTTATAAGTTCAATCAAGTACAATTTGTTTTTAGCAATTATTACGCCTCTTTCAACGAGACTCCAAGCATGACCACACAACAGGCACATAACAAACTAATCTAGACCCGCATTGAACATCATTCTGCACGGATGACAATGGTCGAACCCAGAGCCGGTCCTGTGATTCTCGGGGCCTAAGGCGAAGCCTAGAAATTAGCCCCCCGACGAAATCAACGTAAATGCAAACTTCAATAATATATTATGCGACCCATTACTAACTTGAAAAACTAACATTAAAATAACAACCAAATATATTATAGAAAATATTTATATTATAAACTATGAAAACCAACAATATTTGAAACAATTAGTTAAATACTATTCGTCTTGCTGTTTTAAAGGCAAAAACATCAATTAAATCTGAATAATTTAGCTGCTTAACCATTTCTTTCTTTATTGATAACATGGTCAACCCGTTTAATCTTTCTTGTGACATAGTTGATCGGAGATAGGTTTTAATCAACTTCAATTTCGAGAAATTTCTTTCCGCAGATACAATTGTAATCGGTACGGTTAACAAAATTTTGTAAGCAACATAAGCATTTGAAAAACAAACATTCAATGTCTTCAAATATTGTAGCACTTCAATTACTCTTGTTGCTTCACTTGGTATATAACACATCAAGATTTGTAACTCTGAACATAAATCATCTCCACTGATATCCGAACGCCCATCATGTTGAAGATATTTCTCAAGATTCATACAAGAGTTCAACAAATTTAAAAAAGTTGCACCCCTTAACCTTTTCAAATTAAACAAAAATCCAAATGTGTCATCATATTGTTTGAACTGTTCAAATCGGATCCTCAGAGAAGATAGAGTTTGATCAATTATAAAAACAAAGTACTCAACTCTAAAAGATTCTTTTGCTGATTGCTTTACCTCATCACTACTGCTTTCATCAAATTATTTTTTTCTTCGAACTATACGTTTTTCTGTAAATACAGCTTCAATTCTCATTTCACTTGCCTTTTTTGTTGCTTCATCCTTGGCAATAGCAAATCCAATTTCTCTATATTCTTCAAGCAATGAAATAACCCCTTGCAAGAGGTTGATAGCATGATCAATATCCATGGATTCGGTTTGAAGAAATTTACTCACAATATTGATGGCATGCAACAACCTGTACCAGATTATCATGCCAAGTAAAAACTCAAAATTTTGAAATTCATGTATTGCTAACGACTCGGCTTCACTTTTCACTTTAGGATCTTCATTACTTTCTGCTAAATCAAGTAATGCATCTCTTATCTGTGCAGTTTGCTCCATTATAGACTTCACACTCTCAACATGACTTTCCCAACGTGTTTGTGACAATGACTTCACTGTCAACCCTTGTACATTATCTTTGAAAATTTTTCATCGTTTGGTAGAGGAGGAAAACAATGTGTAGATGCGTTGTATCACTCCGAAGAAAGATATAGCTTTGGAACAACAATTTACCATATCACATAATGCTAGATTTAGACTATGAGCGCCACATAGAGTATAGAAAGCTCGGGGATTCATTTCATGGACTCTTCTTTGCACACCTTTGTGCTTCCCACTCATGTTAGATATATTGGCATACCCTGGCCTCTAATATCATCAATATCGAGATCAAGTTTTATCAAAGCCTTTTGAAGCTCGGTTGCAAGTCCAAGTCCTGTTGTGTCATCTACCTTCAAAAATTCTAGCAAATGTTCTTCAACTGTAGGTAAGTTGCCGGATCATCTACAAATCGTACAATTAAAGATATTTGCTCCTCGTCACTTGCATCTGGAGTACAATCAAGTATAACTAAGAAATATTTTGTATGTTTAACTTTCTTAACAATTAAATTTCTCACCTCATTAGCCAACAACTATATCAACTCATTTTGAATTTTTTTACCAAGATACGTTTATTGAATCTCTCTTGCTTTAGCCCGCCGAAGGTATTCTTACATTACTGAATCAAATTCGCTAACCATTTTCACCATTTATAAAAATAGGTCGTTGTTTTCAACATGTAGCCTCTCATCATCTCCTCGAAATGGCAAGGTATTTTTCGCAAGTCTTTTTACAATAGCGATTATCCTTGTTAATACATGTCTCCAATGTTCTCTTTCAACATCAATCAACAATTCGATGCTTTTATCAATTGTAGTTTTTGTTCGAAGCCTATTTTCCAATTCAATCCAGCTAGTCATGCACCGTAAATGCTCCTGATTTCTTTTATGACTTTTAATAGACCGATGCAAATTATGCCAATCATGCCAATCTTTGAATCTATCATTAACTAGTTGCCCAACTTTGGTCACACTTATTGGTGTTTTAAATAGCTTGCGACAAAAGCAGAAGATCCTATCAATAGACATCGAATATACTAGCCATCTTCTATCAACTGTTTGCCCATTTGGTAGCAATCGCTTATATTGTGAAGAATTGAAATGTCTATTCGTATAGTCTTTCAGAAATGAGATGTCATCAACTCTTTTGGACCCCTTTTAACTAAGTAATCCCTTGTTTTTTGATCAATGATTTTCCAATTCTCGGGATCATCCAAATTTAGAGAAAAACAACCCTCTTCTTCTTTATCATTTTCTTCATTATTAGAGGCGGGCTTCATCACTTTTTCTTCCTTATCATCTACTTTGTTAACATTGGCAGGTTGACTCACTTCTTCATCCTTATCATCTACTTCATTAACATGGGCATGTTGAATCTCTACTTCATCATCATTCAACACATTAACATTGTTGCTTTTGAAGTATTTGTTAATATCCCCTGCTTGACTTTGAATTAATGCATTTTCATTTCGTTTCCTTTTCCTCTTTTGAGCACAAGGCATAGTGTAGGAGTGTATATCTAATGTCCAATGCTTAACCTAAAAAATAATTACAAAATATCTCAATCATCTCACAATTATAGTTTCCAATATAGTTACTACATGTGCCTGTGCAATTGTTCATCCTACAATAAGTAATCATATAAGCCGACCAGACTGTAATTATATAAGCCAGCAAGGCAGCAAACATTTCCAATCTCCAACATAGCTACTTAGGGCAAGCCGTTGCTTACCTGATAAGTGGAATTTTGATGAAAATTTTGGAATTACGCCTTTGAGAAAGATCCTTTTTTTTTGAACTGGTGGTAAACTTATCGCAATTTGAAGAAATTTTTGGATTGTGTCAACAATGCTATAACATAGCAAAAAGAAACATGTAACGAAATAACAAGTAGTTATAAAACTTAATAAAATAAGTAATTGTACTTTTCCTAAACATGCTCTAAAACTTAATAAAATATGTAGTTATACTTTCTTGCACATAATTATATAGAATATAGTCAAAATCTTTTTTGGGATATCTATTATCTACTAGTCGCTACACACGTTCAATCAATTCTTCATAGATATTAACAAAATGTTGTAGTTAAACAAGTAATAATAAACACAACAGATAACAAAGTAATATTGTCAAATTGAAGTGCTTTAATTGTTCTTAAATTGAATTTCAGTGACCTAATTGTAGTTGAAAGTGAAATTAACCTAAGTTGACATGGAAGGCCACATCAGTAGAAATTAGCTTTAACGTCCATGCCATCAATTTCTGTAACTTTGTCTAACGTTGCACAATGGAGTGACCTAATTACTATTAAATCGAACTTCATTGACGTAATTGCTAGCAATTGAATTTCAGTGATCGAAAGTTTAATGACTGTGGTGCAATTAACTTCTTAATATTACGTACCAAATATATCTTAATTTTACTAGAGCGGCAATAGAGAGTATAAATTAGCCAAAATATCATTGCTTGTGCTTAGGATTGACCTAAATTTGATTTATAAATCGTGAAACACGAAGCATCAAGCATGTGATTCAGATTCAGAGATTCTGGCTAGGGATACAAATTGCAACCCGGTTTGGTTATATTTATGGCCATCTAGGAGATTATTACACTGCATTTCCACTTTGCTTAACGAAAAAAAAAAATTTATCATTACCTTTACCATTTCTAATTGGGTCTCCAAAATATTTTATTAGGAATTTGCCAACGGCGAAACGCACAAAATATCGGTTGGTCTTTGACCGATTAATATAGCTTATTTAATTTCCACTTTGTTTCCCTAGCTGACTAGGTATCACAGTACATGATAACATCTTCAATTTAAATTTTGTGCAGGACAAAAACAAGCACCCTGCTAACCTAAGTTACCCAAGAAAATGAGAAGGAAAATAAAAATTCTCTCCACCCCCACTCCCACTCTACAACACCATAACAAGAAAAACTTAATTATACTTTATTAACTAGAAGATATTGAATGCATTTCACTTTCTGATTACTATCAATTAATGTCCATAACTCGGGTCATGTCCAGAATACTCTCAAATTCACGATCTTTTCACGTTTACATTGAAATCAAACAATTCCATCAAATCTTTAAGCCATTTTCACCCAAATAGTGAATAGAAGATATGAAGTAGAATGAATTTTATGAGAACCCAATTGAGTAAATTGTAAACATACATCAAATCAAACCGAAACACATTAAATTGATTTAAGAATTGAAAGTCCATACCTTTGTTGCATACAACAGCAGCCAGCAATTAGAACCCTCTACAATTCCATTTCTCTACAACAGAAATAGTAGCTTCAGGAATAGATGCAGAGAGAACAATCTGATTGTCCACTATTGTGGCTTCAACCACACCTGCATCAACGATTCAAGAAGCATTAATAAAAATATAGTGATTACCAATTTAAGTTAATAAATCAATGATTAAAAATGTATTAAGAAATTACCATTGGTGTCAGCAACTATGTTTCCCAGGTCACCCGCATGGCGAACTTCATCCTCAGGAGCTCCATGTGTCAAACCATTTGGATTAAAATGTGCTCCTATTACACCATCATTAATATTTAATAATCTAAAGAAAATGCCATTAACTAATTCTTGTGAACAAATATATAATCTCAAACATGAAATTGAGTCTAAACCTGTTGAGATACACCCATTTTTTGTGTTATCAAACTCATGCTACAAAACCCAAAGAATATGTTAATAAGATTCGCATTTTCGAACTTGGTTTTTATTTTTCCTCATGATATAGGAAACAAGAAAACCTAAGCCTTTAGAATATTTAGAATTAATAACACTCATAATACTCACTAGATAAAAAAAAAAAAAAAGAAAAGGAAATCAACCTTAAGGGCATCAACTGTGGAGACCGGAGACGAAGTCGTGGTCGTGGAGAGTCGGAGCAACGAAGGCGACACAACATGCGCCAGGTTGAGCAGCGTATACGTATTTGATTTTTCAGATTTTGGGTAAATGGATTGTTTTGGATATTGGATTTGGATTATGGATATATATAAGTTGGGTTGGGATTTAAGGATAAATGGATTGTTGGATAATTAGTTTTGTATTGGGCATTTCACATTTGGGCCTGCTAAACTTGTATTTAAGAAAAAATTTGGGCCAAAATGAGGCCCCCTAAGGTCTTGGGCCTGAGGCGCAAGCCTCATTGGCCTCGTCCCAGGACCGGGCCTAGTCGAACCCCTCCCCCCTCCATGAAGAGACCAACCCATATGAAGAGTATTTAAACAAATCTGTAAACGTATGAGATCGTTGACAAGTAATAACGTGATGAGTTGAGTTATCATCCCATGAAAAATAATTGCTAACTTTAGTTCACTAGTGTATATCAAATTCGCTGTTATTGACACAAAAGAGTTGCTGTTTTGTAATTATCCTAAATTAAACTAATAATAACGTGAAAGAGTGGTTTTTATTAAATAATAAAATGAATGTATTTAATTTCGAAATTAACCTATTCATCTCTTTTTTTAATTCTCAAATCATATAAGTTAGCGTTCTTCACGTATTTATGACAATTGATAATTCATTAATATCTCATATACTTTTCAAGATATATTAAACATATACTAAACATGACTAGATGGTGTCGTGACACACTGCTGCAAACAACAGCGTTGATGCGTTGCTTACATGGTGGTGAAGGCGAGCAGCAATTATGGCACCATGAATTTGATTTTGACTTGAAGATTGGGTAAATGAATAAATTAAGGTTTGTGGTTGGTGACTGGGTGCGGTGAGATACACCTGATTTTTCAAATAGAAACCCTTAAAACTTATTTTTGAATTGATAAGTTGAGAAGTAGTTGTTGATGAAATTTTCACGAGTTTTTTGATAAAATTTAATGAATTTTTTATCGAAAAGTTAATAAAAGTTGTATATCCCATTAAATATGTTACTAAAAATGAATTTAAGAAAATTATCAATATCAAGTTTGTCTATATATTTTAGTTTCTCCATGAATTATTTTGTTTCTACAAATTAGCACAAATTAAAGAAATAGTCAAAATTTGAATCTGGCCAGACTCAGCTACAAAATTTATTTTGCTTGTTTAAGCTCCAGGTAGTTAGCATGTAGCATTCATGCGACCTCAAGGCTCTCTCTCTCTCTCTCTCTCTCTCTCTCTCTCTCTCAAGTATTCGCGTTGTGATCCTCCAAAGCTTAAAGCCTCTTTCAATTCGGTTCCTCAAATTTGAGCTTTCTAAATTTAACTCCTTTTGCACGTGTATAAATATTGGCCCAAGAACTTTCAACTTCATCAAATTTAGTCCTCCAACTTTTGATATCTTCAACTTTTTGTTCTCCGAACTCTCCAAATGGCAAATTTGGTCTCCAAAACTTACAGTCATCCAATCAACTCTCAAAAGCATCCAATAAAGTTTCAACCTCTCGTCATTAAGGCAAAAAACTCTTATCTTTTTTTTGCCTCAATTAAGCTCCAAATCCTCTCCTAGGTGCTCAATTCACCTTCGAGTCAGGTTTTTACCTACACACAACATATACACTATATAGAGTACAAATTCACCCAATAAATTAATATTATAGGAGTGTTTACTATATAGTGATAGCACAAATGAAATTGAAAACCTGACTCATATAAGTTCGAGATTAGTTTTTTTGTTCAATTACATGAATGACATTATGAAAACAACGAAGTGAAATTAACTCGATTAGGAACAACGTTGACTGATAATCTTATTGATTTGAGTCGAGTAAACTTCAGATGTGTTATTTGATACTGCAAAAACAGCAAAGTCACAAACTTAAATGCGATATTAACTTTATTTTGATCTCAGTTCTGAACAAAATGTGATTTAGGCAGTAGTTTTCTAACTATGCACTTGTTTGGTACTATAGGATTCGTTGATTTCAATATTTTCCCTGCTGAAAATACAAGTCAAAAACATGTGATTGTCTATGTATAGACCGGTACACTTGTTCTATGATGCCTAATTGGGTTATATTTTCCTATCAGGGTTGGCTGTTCGCGAAATATTTCTTTTGATTTAAATTACCGCAAGTGTACGGGTCGTGACAAGTAATAAAGTGAACTTTAGAAGTCCGAGTATCGTCCCACAGAGAAAGAGTAGTTCAATTTTATTTATTTTAGCCTTAACCGAAACTAATTGATTTAAGATGAATTTTAGAATCAAAAGCCCTAATTTTGGGAGAAATCCCCAAATTGAAAAACCCTAATTTCAAATCAAACCCTAATTACTTAAATTCACTTAATGAATGACTCAATTACCAAATGTTATGAAAATAAATGAAATTTATTGTCAATTTATGAAAATCTATATAAAACGAATGCACTAGGATCACGAATCCTCGAATAATTACTACTTAAACCCTAATTTCACAATTTTGATAATCCAATAAGAATTTGACAAATCAATGCTCCTAAATCTATTCAATACTCTCTCTCGAGATGTATTGAACCTATTCTCATAAATCACCAGCCTATATCTCTATGACGGATGCAATTATACAAGAACGCATGTAATCTTTTTATGAAAATTAAAGATTCACATAGGGCATAGGGGTATATTTCTATCCCCTATCGGACCCTATGATGAATTATATATGTCGAGTTTAATCCAATTTTCTCAAATTCAGAATTAAACCACCAAGTTCACAAAAATTAAGTGCACATTAATTGTAGTGATAAATAAAGCAATATAATCCATTCAAATATCCCATCGAACTATGAATTCAAAATCATGAAATAACAAGTTTAATAATAATTACATGGTTCATCGATCACCTAGTTGTAGAAATCTAGCCTACCATGATAAAAATAATGAAATCTAACAAGTTTTGAATAAAATACATCACCGGGTTATCAAAACTTGAAGAAATCTTGTAAATCTTCGCATCAATTCTTGTTCTAGCCTTCAAATCCTCTCCAAGATGAATGTTTTTGCCTCCCAATTCGTTCGTGCAGCTTCTGGATGTTTATTTGTTATTTAAACCCGTCGAAATTAGGTTACCAAAGGAGTTGCAATCATATAAGAAAACTACAAAAATTAGGGAAAAGTTATACCTATGCGACCGCATAGGTATATGAAAAATGGCGTTTTTAATCCCTGGAGGGTCACTTGCGACCGCATAGAATTTCTAATTTGAGTCATTTTGATCCTCAAGTTTCATTCATTCACTCCTTGACCTCCTCTCTTGTTTCTAGTTGCTCCAATGTTCCATTATAACTTTCAATTTGTGCTTGGATTGATCAATTGCTTGATGTGTTCATCGGGTCAACTTTCAGATAATTGCAATTTGGTCCCTGAATTTTCATTTTGCTCCAATTTGGTCCTTTTTCGGCTCTTTTCTCCTGAATTCCACTATTTCCATAGAATTACCTACATTGCATGAATTTGACAAAGTTAAGTAACAATTCAATCATTTTACTTGTATTTAAGTAATGTTTGTGATGTAAATAAGTGTGCAAAAACACACTTATCATTGGCCCTCAGGCCCAGCCACCTAGGCCATCCCCTAGGGCCTACAAATTTTGGTTTGGGCCCAGGGCCTCAAAATCCATATTAGTTCCAATTTCCAAAATAATAAAAATGGTTTGGAGTCTTGGACTACATGAATTAATTTTTTTTTGGAGACTTGGAGTCCGTATACATACACAACAAACCGCCCCAGCCCTTTATCTTTTCAATTCGACATTTCGACTTCCTCTTATCCTCTCAATCCTCTGCTTCGATGTTCGGTGAATCCAGAATTCTCCAAGGCCTCCACTCCAGGCTTCCAGAGTCCAGACTTTCAGGCTTCCAAGGACTAGCGCCAACGAACGAAAACTCAAAATCGAACATGAAAAACCCCAATTTCTCTGCCTCTCGCAAACTCACACGCCGGATTCCCTTTTTATATCTTATCAAGTCCTTTGTTTTGGTAAGTAAAATGGATGTCCATCTCATATATTTGAATGCCTAATTATTAATCCTTTATCCTATGGGCTATGGTGGTAGTTTGTTCAAAGTCTCAATGGTGAAATCGTGAAAAAGGGATGAAAATAGTGTTTTTTTTTAAATTTGTTTTACTCTTAATAATTAGTTCTATTAGCATTTTAATTAATTCCCAAATTTTGTTGCAGAACTTTATATATGAATGAATCGAATGGTTGTATTGATTATTGACTATTACAATTTATTTGGTTATTTCTTGTTGGGAAATTGTCCGGTTAAAATGAGTTAAGGGGAAAATTTGTTTTATAGAATCTGACCATAAAGGGACTCAACTTATTCCTTGGTTCTTCATCGTCCTTGAATTGTAAGGCATTTTCTGATGACTGGTGGTTTACTTATTATTCATGTTTGGTGAATAAATTCATCCAATTTTTGCCCCTAGCTCTGCCATATTGTTGTTCGATAGTAAAGTATCGTAATCAAAACTACTATATAAGTTTGTGTTATTAGTAAATGCCATTCGCTATTCAGAATATTCTAAGTAAATGTTGTTGGGGATATTTGTATCATTTTCCACTTCGAAAAATATCTCTCAAAACAAGATTTTTTTAATTAGAACCTAACCAGGTGTTTTTAATTGAAATTTTGATAAATTTATTTGGTTATTTTTTGCAGGTTGATTGTTAAACTCCTACACTTGGCATATTTGAGAATCAGGGATATTTTTAATTCGA